ACGATTCCTCGCAGAGCGGAGCCTCGCCCTACAGTTCGACCAATTCAATCCAGGAAAGCTCCAATTTATGATAAAGAATCATACCTTCGATGTGCCAAAAGGGCGCCATGCATCATCCCGGTCGTTTGCACGGCATTTGTCCATTCAACACGTAGAGGTCGTGCTTCAAGCGGTCCATGTTGGGCTTAGATATCTCGTCCTTGAAAACACATGTGGTTCTGCCATCTCATGGATCCTTGGGTTCTTTCGTAAGGAAGTCAAATGCATGAAATTCTCGTCTGTCCGAGAGGCCATAAGCTGCTACGTAGGATTCGAGGAACGAGAAGATTTCCATGAGTGGATGCAAGAAGTTTTGGAGCTCTACGATTCTCAGAATCAACGAACCCCTCGGAAAAGACAAAAGACTTGGAAAGATAGTAAGTCCAATCCGTCAGAAAACCTGCATATATCTAATCATACTGCAAGTAACTACGTCCGGATGCGAGACTGCCGCTTCGTTTAGTTTGGAGCATGACAACTTGATACAAGGCAGACCCGTGGGCGAAGTGGATACGACAATTCCTCCACATCATGAGCCAGAAGGCCAGCAGACGTCAATGGGGGGCGTCGTTGGCTCGAATTCATGTGTCCATGATGGAACATTACCAGATCCAGACCTGAATTCGACGCGTACTGGATCCAATCATAGTGACGTCATTGCCAAGATTGGCAGTGATCGAGCACTTGAACCGTCTCCAGGTCCTATTACCACAACAGAAAGTAAAGAGTATTGGACATATCTAGCAGCGACCGTCGACCATATTCGGACGACTCTCGGCCAACGTATCATGGATGCGATCGAGTGCGCTCCTACACGATTGCGCGAGCGTACGACGATTCACACGCTTCAAGTCACAGAATGTGTGAAAACAAAACTTCCGAAGCATAATTTTCAAGACGCCATTATCTCAGTAGACATCGGACCTGCCCGCGAATTTGCGGAGACCTTGTTTCCTGCGAGGGTGTTTCCAGTCGATCCAGAGATGAACACAATGCGTGCACTTGCGCAAGCAGAAACAGAAACTTTACAATGTGATCATCTGTGTTTCACGCTGACCGGGGCGTCCTTCGCTGCTATTAAAGATCTCTTTCCCCCTCAAATACATAACGCGATTGAGAAGAGCCGACTGCGAACGTGGGAGAAAGACCATCAACTCCACACTTACACAGATTGCGTAACGATGGTCGTACGACGCGAAGAGCCGTATTTTGGCACAATCCATTTGCGTCTTGAGTTTGTTGAGAGTTTTCGCATAGTCAAAGCTTTGTATTGAGAGCTCTTTCTTCTAATGTCATCATCCAGATTTCCACTTTCCCCTCACAATGTAAACTCCCACTTCCGCGGGAAGGTCCATCTCTCCATTTCCTGTTGTCGACCAAATGTCCTGACCCTTTATGTCTTGGAAAGCGATGTTTTCGCAATCTAAGAAATATATTTTCCTCTCATAACTCTCCGCTAGTATGTACTCGGCCGGTTGTTTCGTACATCCATCGAAAAAGTCTGTGGAGACTGTAAGACTCTTCCAACGTTTGCGCTTCATTCATTAGCCATGTCGTATTGGCTAAGCGACCAACATACCAACGACTCCTCCGATATTGCTTCGTCTGCCATCCGCGTTCGTGCGGATTTGCTTCAGGGTAGATGTAGATAACTCGATGCTTTGTGGCCCGCGTGATATGAAGCCTTCCCTAGAATGTCAGCGTTGATATCAGCTTCATGAGTCACGGTTCTCGTACTAGTTGTGTATTAAGCGCTGCAGTCAACTGTGTCGTGAAGTGTGCGAACTGAAAGATGTTGGGCGTCAGCGGCCCAGTTTGCGACAAAGTGGGGCATAGTGCCACATGCCCTCCAGCGTCGGGCAACTGTAGCAACATATACTATGTCGAACAAAACTCTCCGTCCGGCATAGAACGCAGACTACTCAGACAGTCAAGAAGAATAAAATGATCTCACAGTGCGATTCTTGTATCATTACTCATATGCAATGTGTCTGATTGGCGGTTGTTCCTGTGCGAGGCATCTAAGAGAGCCGGGACTATCCCTGCTCCGATAATGCTGTATGCGCATGATCGTGAAGCAAGGCAGCTCAGACCAGTTCCAACACCACAGCCATAGGACCAACTCTAAATTAATATTATCACGCAGCATGGAGCGCAATACGGCAAGCTCATATCCGGCGGCATAGCCAAAATTGTTAAAGATACAAGCCGAAGAGCTATGACTGATGCAGGATACGCACGCGCGAGCACAGGCCGCCAACCCACGCTAGGATCAGAGGCGGTTATAATTCCTCTGACATCGTACGGAACCATGTTCAACGATGACTAGCAGTTTCAAGTCACCCATGACGACTGGTGGCTACGCAGAATTTCTTTGGTGCCCCCTCGCAAGTAATTCGCTTTAGGTCCGTCTCAACACGAGCTTCTGCCTATATTTCCTTACGTATCGGTTTATGATTCTCAGTCGCACCTGACGTCGTACACAGCGATCGATCAATGCTCGTTCGACCTTGTGGCAGATTTACTTGTACCGAACTCCCATCAAATGTCGCCGTTTATTCTACTAACACGTCAGAGAGCTTGTCTAGAGGTAGGAGTCTTTGGGGCTGTCCGGACGGGCGCCTGTGTTCTAGTTTGTCGACTTCCACTCCAGCCTCGAAGGGTTTCGTACGTCTGCGCTCGATGGGGAAGCGGGAGTGTTAGAGGCGTAGGAGATGGTTGGAGCGGCTGAGGCTGCATAGGGAGTTCTCAGGGCTATGCTGAAAAGTGGATGCCTTCTCGCGTGTTGGTCTCCGCTTCAGCTTCTTGCTTTGGGCGCTCCTATTTGGTGCGGGCTGGCCGAGGATTGGACTCGCGTTACTTCGAAAGGCAGCGCGTGGCGTAGAGTTCACGGTGGGGGTCTTCTTGTGGAGAGGCGCCTATTGTTCTTTGCGAGCGCAAGCGTGGATTGCGAATCCATAGGCATCGGGAAGAGAGAAGCTCAATGCGTGGTGCAGCTCTGGGTATAAGAGGGAGGAAGATTGAAGAATGAAATGCGAAGTCGGACAGGGAGGAAGGTGAGCACTCGTGAGGGGTGAACGCTAGTCTGAAACAAACAAAAGATACGCTAACCAAAGAAGGTTAGATATGATTTGGCAGATCAAATGCCCAGAACAGATTCTGGCCTGAGGCGCCAAGACGAAGGGACATAGGAGCGCTTGGCGAAAGCAAATGGGTGGCGTAAAGTGATAAGGGGAGCATACAGTCAACAGAGGAGACCTGACGATGTAGAGCCGAAACTATATCAGAACGGATACAAATCTGTACCGATAATACTTACGTATCGCCTTCGCTTCGCTAGCTCTAGTATATCGCTAACAGAAACTAACAGCGATTATCGTGGTGTGGGAAGAAAGCGAGGTGCTACAAGCTGAAGTACCCCTCATTAGTCCCAGCACGGGGGGTGTCCCAGCACATAGGGAGGGACTTTAGACTAATAGCGGCTTTACAAGCCCACAGATGGGAGGCGCCGAAGCTCCGAATCGCCAACCTGTCTCGCGACATAGTGTGTCTTCTCACCCAGGGACGCACCTTAACACTTCTAGCAGGCAGACTTAGAATTGGAACAGACGCACGACAACCTCTCGAGCCTAAGCGCAGTGCTCGGGATAGAGTAATAGTATAACGAGCTGTAAGTTGACGGACTTTCAACAGGGTGCACAAACTTTTAGCGCGTCTACTGCTAGCTAAAGTGAGGCGATCGCGTAACGTTTATACATAACTAACGTATTGCACGGTAAGCTAAATCTATTTTGAAAAGATGTTAGGAGAGAACAGACTTTATATATTAAGGCTGCTATTCCGAGAACATGTGTTCTTCTGGCCTAGGGTTGAGGTTGTTGTGTTAGGGGATGTGTGTAGCGTCCCGCCACGCAGGGCGTCCCGCTACCCAGGGACGGACGTTAGTCTTCATCTCAGATACTACATAGCTAATCAGAAGAATCCTGTCTTGACGCGGGGCCTTTTTGCGTCATGAACGCGTTCGGAAGTCTCAATGACACTGGGACGTTTCACAGGAGTGGCAGGTAGTGGTTTTTCCGATACTACATGATCAAGGGTACCAAAAGGCCTGACGAGACTTTGGCCCTCAATCAGTTTCTCTAGTCTTGTCGGAAAGCCACTTATAAGAGTAGTTGTAGTAGTGATTCCTCCTAGAGAAAACGCAATCACTTCGTCCATACTTTCCACTCGAAAATTTATTCGTCTTTTGAAGGGTGGAGGTCCTTTCGGTATGAACTGGACGCACTGAATAGGACTACCTTGGACAAGAAACCATGACGAGGTCTCGAGTAGCCGATCGTATAAATATCTGAGACCTCCGACGGGGAGATCGAGACGACAATGTATGTATCCCAGGCAAAGATAACCATTTCCGTCGGGGATGGGCAAAGCATCCAACTCGAAGTAGAACATGGAAGCTAGCATTGAATCCACCACTGGAGTTAGAGTCGCCTTGTCCTCCTCGAGTTGTCGTATGACTGCGGCTTTGAGACTGGGTATCTGCTTTGCGTCATCTAAGCTAGGCTCGGGGCCGGTGAATTTTACGTTCAGCCGGTGGTACCGAGGACGCGTTTTCGGATCCAAAGAATTGCGAAAGCGTATCCATGCGTCTTCACCGTTCAAATTTCGCATGAAGCTTTTGAATAGGCGAGTGTAGAATCGTGGGATGACAAGTCCTAAGCTCGCCGGCTCCGCCGCAAACCCCGTCCCAAGTGAGAGAGCAAAGTCCGGATTGTCTTTATGCGGCCAAAGGAAACGGCTTTCCCATTGAGCTATGCTGGCTGGGTTGTTATGTTGCAAACCCCCATCTTGGTAGGTGCCCAGGCTGCTTACAGCTTGTGGTTTGAAGAACCAAGGCGCGGCCGATGTACAACATGCCCTAGATTTGTTAGGTCCTGGTATGTAATGAGGAGAGGTCCAGCTCACGCATCGCTCACAGTAATATCGTTCTTTGCCTTCTCGGCGCGAACGACATCGTACCCTACTGCTGATAAATAACCACTTGCTAGGAGGAGACCATATACTTACCAACACTCCTAGGTCGTTTTCCCCCATTGTAGTTGGTGAACAGCCATGGAAGTGAATCATCAACTGCAGTAGTGGTGACGGCAACCTTGGTGTCATTCCGTAGCGGGTTGAACATCTGCAAATTAGAGTTGAACGTCTTCCTAAACGCTTCTTGCACAGCATCCAGACTGTACTGACCGTCCTCAACATATGCAACGATGAGCTGAAGAGCCCTTGATATTAATGCTTTTCGCCTGCCAAATGTTTTTGCAGCTACTTGCTCGTATCGCTGTATGGACTCCGTTGCGTCCCATTGTAACAAGAACATGCCTATAGCAACAAGACCGCCTGCGATAGTCAGTTGCATCGACGGAGTACCCTTGGAATTCTTACCAGCTGAGGTACCGCATACGAAATCAAAGTGATCTTTGATGGCGCAGCCTAGCGGCGCAAGTGTGCGGTCGAGCTGCTGGAGAAACACAAGGGGAATGACGCCCCGAACGCCGCCTCCATCTATGCTCAGCATACGTATGCCCGCTGTTGGAGGCACAAAACGGAACTTGTGACTCATGAAGTTGACTCCACACAAGATGCAATCTATGATTTCAAAGGTATTCCTTTCGGAGCGGCAACGAGTTCCAAAGATCCGAATGCATGGATCGCATAAGGCATGACCACATGTGAGGACCTTCTCAGGCATGCGCAAGAAGCATGAAAAGCACGTTCGGTGGCTCTTGAGGCTTGCCATGTGGGTATGGTTAGTCCTAAGGGTTTCACGGTGAATGTCGCTCGCAGATGATGTGTTGCTGATGTAGATCTCGAAGACATTCTTGAACTCTTGAAGCACCGCCGATATGAACTTGTGCTGAATATCCTCAAACATTGTATACGTAGCGATGGCTGCTTTGCATGGCGTAGCGTATAGCGCGTCGAAAAGGTAATCAGGCGCGAAGTCTATGCTCTATTAACTAACGTAAAACTAAGCAAGTCTGATCTTACTATGGGCGCCCGGTGGGTAGCTGGCGAGCAGCAGGGCTGAAGCTACAAGCGGTGCAGCGAAGTGCCACAGCCAGGCCTGGGAAGGCAACTGTAAGAAAAAGTCCGAGAGACAGGCTTCTAGAAGACTTGTCGTGAAACCTTTTGATCGTGAAGCGTTGGCGAGTTGAAATGGCTCGTCAATTTTAGTGCTGATATGACCCAAGGCTCGCTTTGTGAGAGCTTGAACATGAGTGTGATTGAATTGTGTAAGTTTGCCAGCGCGTTCTTTCATGGACTTTTCAGACATTGCTAGTAAGCGCCTCTTTAAAGCCCGTGCACGTGCTGCAGTCGACTTATACGACTGCAATCCAAGCACCTCGATCTCGCCAATGTTCAGATGATCAAGCTGGTTCTCATGGACACAGTCGTTTGTGTGCGAAGCCTGCTGGAGATGCGCGATAGCCTTGCTGGTCGCAATGCTTTCGTCGAATGTATCTGATGTTGTCTCTACAACCAACAAGATGCGGGGCACTGTCGGCAGATCTCGTGCCGTCGCAGCGTCCGCAAAGTCAGCTAGCCAGTTTGCGACAGCCTTTGGGCCTCCTAGATCACTGACAAAACAGCAGATCACACTGGAAAAGGGAGAGAAAACCCGCGCGCAAAGTGTCGCACTCACGTTTCGGATCTCTGGTAGGGACCAAGACGTTGCAGGTGTCGCGCTTCTAGCAGCAGACGGATTAGGAGGTTGTGATTGAGCATTCTGCATGCCACAGTCAATTATGACACACGGCGGGGATCCGTTTTGCCGAGGTAGCGACCAAAGATATACTTCTTTGTGCACAGGCACTGCGAGATCACCTCCCAGGAGTCTATCGAGAAGGATCGCCTTAGATCTCCGTCCTACGAAGGTCACAAAGGATGGGCGGTAGTTTCTCTCGACATTGTCAGCTTGAGATTCGGACAGTGCCGGTTTGAGTTCAGGCTCATAGTGTGTCACGATATTTCCACTACGGGATGTTTCGAAGGTTATCCAGGGAAAAGAAGTCATATCGTGCGATGTTGAGAAACTGTCTGATCTGGCGTAGATTTTATGCTGTCGGGCAGGCTGTTGCCAATTAACCGTTTTTAGGGACCGGGGTCGTGTTTCCTGCGAACGCGCAAACCGAGGCGGGTGACTGTCATGCCCACTACGAATTCGCGACGCTGCTTTCTGGTGCATGTGCAGATACAGAGTCTTCTTAAGTTTGATTGAGTCCAGTAACATTAGATCATGCGTCAGGATGGAATTGCCTGATGAAGACTTTGCTGCAAGAAAATTATTATGCTACCGAGGAATTGCCCGCTTGCCGCTGCAAGCATTGAACTACGATCACAAGATCGTGCGGGAAAAGCATCGGGAAATCTCTCATGAGAATGTCAAACGCCTGGAAAATAGATACGAACAAGTCGGTTGCGAACGACTGCAAGAGGAGAATGTGATCAATGCGATCGTTAAAGATAGTGACCTGGTAGCGGCGTTATCCACTCAAGGCATGTCCTTGGATGACATGCGCAATCTCCAATGGCCACAAGATGCACCTGCATTGGAGATGGAGCATGTTCAGTGTCTTTCTGGTATGCACCGTATTGAGGCAGCACGACGATATTTGAACGAGAATGATAAGTGGTGGATTGTAAGGTTATTTTCCTATGGTCAGTCACGCGCCATTCAATCTTCGCTGGTGATACCTAGGTAACCCCAAGGCAGAAACCCCCGAACCGGTACTAGTTCGTATCATAGAGTCATACTCCAGCGAGAAAAGGCCTTCAGATGGGGAAATCTTCCGTAAGATAAGGCTATACCATCGGGAAAACGATCAAGAGGCCGAAAAACGGTGGTGGTCACACCTGGAAAAGTCTAAACCCAAGGATCTGCGACAACTTCTCAAACGCCGTTCAATTACTGCTGGCTTTGATGCATTGATTGATATGCCAGGCCTGTGGTCTAGTTTGCAATTGGGGGCGCTTCATAGACTCTTAGGGCTGAAGTGCGATGAAGTATGCACTGTTCCAGGCATGGTCAAGAATTTCGCTGACAGAGACAGGAAATGACGTTATATCTAAATCATATAGCAAGATCTTGGAACAAGATTCTGCGCTGCGGTAACACAATGTTGCCTCCATCCACCATCGATGCCGTCACTGTTCAGAATCTTGAACTTCTAGCTCCTAGACATTCGGATATCGATAGGAACTTAGTAGTTAATCTCATGGAACGCGGGGAAATATTCTCCTCTCAACAAGATCGCAGCATACGCAAAGCTCTATTGGAAAATGTCTGTACCTTTCCCGGCGTCATTCCTTCATTAAGAACCTTTTTCGAAACGCTGAAGTACCTGGAGCCTCTTTGCGAAGCGCTCAGACAATTACTGGGCGAACAGATGAAAAGTACCATACGCTCCAGTCTCACCGGTCTCTTCTTCGGTCCGAACAAGAACATGGTTCAATTAAACGAGACTGAGGATGCCGAGATTCGGATTGCGCTCAGCCAACAAGACGCAATGATGGTTGCATATACGGAGCTGTGGGCATTCTGCAGCCGTCACTTTGATGGTTTAACAGCGTCTACACCCAGAAAGGAAACTGGAGAGTCAAAGCCTCTTGTGAAGGGACCTAATCCCGTGGTCTGGCAACATCTGGCGAGGTTCGCCTTGTCTCGAGGCTTTCGGATATCCCATGCGCAACAGATCACGACAAAGCAGAAATACCACCATGCACAGCTTGCTATAGATTATCTTCGGAAGGCGAAGCCAATGTGCTCTAACTTCTCAGATGACCACATTCAGCGCGTTGTGACAGCGGTCGAATCAGAGGAAAGTTATGACATACCCGAATCTACCAGAGGAAGCACGCGTCTTAATCTCGACCGGAGAAATGGTCGTCCTTTCGAGCACGACTTTGCGGAAGAGAAACGAATCATGTTCTTTCCGCAGCTCTACAGCGGTCCACCATGCGAGAACGCAGATTTGAGACTAATGCGCCGTGATTTGTTTTCCTGCATGTTTATCTCTATGAGCCTTCAGGTAGTGAATCCCAACTACGGCAAAGGTTTTCGCTGACGTATTACTAGCAAGCTGACTTTGGATCAACCACAAATGCTCAAGTGTTTGATGAGGATCCTATGGACCTTGAACCCCCAGTAAGCTCACCAGAACTAGATAAGTATGCTGAATTGCAATCGCGTTACGCGAAACTCGAACGTGAGTATCATGACATCTCCGCTCAGTACGATACACGAGTAGAACGTCTACGGAACGAGAATGAAGATCTCAAAGGCCAATTACAGCGATGTTCGTCAGAATATCGGCGAGTCAAGGATGAACTGGACCGCTTCAACCAAGGAACATGGGTAGCAATGCACGAATTAGAAACGGAGCGCGCTGAGAGCAGTAACCTTCGCTTGAAGTGCGCTCAGCTTAGACGAGAACTCGAGGCTTCAAAGAACTCTGCAACACAGATTATTTCACGTATAGTCGAGTTACCAGAGCCTCTTGCAATAGAGTCTACGACGATGCCAGTGCTCGAAGATAGTGACGAAGAAGTATCGGATGTTCCACCACTATCCGATTGGAAAGAGAGAACCGGCAAAGGTTATGAGATTTTCGTCGTGGATCATACTTCCGAACAAGTCTTGAAGGGGTATAGCTTCGATATCAGCTCAAGCCGTGGGGAAGCTGTATCCCGAATAAGTGATGCATTGCACCAAGCTGCATCAATTGCCGAGGGTAAAGAGTACCACGTAGCAACAGTTCTGGGGAAACGTATCGTCAACACAGATCCTGAATTTCTTTTTGGAACAATCGAGACTTGTCAGACGTTAGCTATTGGGACTGAGAAGGGCATAGAGAACTGGAATTCCACTTTGAACAAGGCTGCGCCATCTTCACTGTCGTACCCATCGACTATTACCATCCAGCAGGCTACTAGTCAAGCTCTAGAGAAGACATCCACGATGGCCAGGAAACGGATGCCAGCCTTCAACAACGAGACAACGACGACTGACGGCTACGCGAGAAAAATAGCTAAGACAAAAAAATCGCAACAGCGTCTTATTGCCGCTCCGCCATCAACATCGGAGCAAGAACAAAGCTAAACCCTAGCCATGGCGTCATGACGTACCGTGACAGTGGTTGCCCAATCCAAGATCACTGCATTACTCTTGTGAGTTATTTCAATAGAGCGTCGTTTTGCATACAGCTGCATATAGTTAAGTCAAGTGTCTGGCGATACAATACCATAGCGCGCGGAGGGGGGTTTTGGTCACATAGAAGTCGCTATATTACACCAAAATATTGCTAAAATTATGTTAACAAAGTAAGTTATTTGTGCATTGTTAATAAGCTAATGCGGTGTCTGTGCGCTGTTCAATTTGATATAGCGACATCTACGTGACCAAAACCCTCTTTCCGGGCCGTATGGTACAGTTATAACGTTGTTCATGCGTCTTATCACCATCAAGTCCATCATATCAGTAGAGAGGTGTTGTAATATTTAATTAACATACATTATTGAATCTCGTGCTCTCATCCTCCACACGCAGGGTGTGCGCTTCGGCCGTACTTACAAAGTAGATTTGGCTGTGCAATGGGCATGTATGTCATGGATTGAGCTTTCTGGCGCACTTTCCACTCAGCACTACTGTTCTGCCCCTAAGTTCATCTTTGACGGAAGGATTATGTTTCTGGGCAACGGGCTAGATGTGGATGTTCGACATGGTATAGGTCGAGGCGGGGTCGTGGGGAGTGACCACACTTCACCCATCGGCTGACCCGTCATCGTGTCCCGCGTATCCATCGCTCCCACATGCCCTGCTGTAACTCCATCTCTACTATCGGCAGTATAATCGTGTATGTAAGGTGGAGGTGACGAGGAAGTCGCGTTGCTGACGATCTGTACGTGGCCGCGGGAGAGACCATCTACGAGACTTTGGTAGTGGGCTGGTCTTTTGATGAATGGATGCTGTCTCTTGACCTGATACAGTTAGTGTGGTTTTTCGAACCCTAGTTGTGGACATACATAGTCTTCGACAAACGGTGGCCAGGTTTGTCCTCTTTCTTCGGTGGTAAAGACAAGAGGTGTGATCCCAGGTTTTTCCACAACAATGGAGATACGGATTCTGTCATCGATCTGGTGGAGCTCTGCTGCCTTTTTGAAGATGCCTGTACACCGAGTATTGAATGATCTTGAGAGATTCTGGGGCGGTGCGCGTGGCATCTTGCTTTAGTGGTCGACAGATTTTGGATTCGGATTACTGGAAGTTCTGGACAAGCGATACGTGGAGGTTTCTGAGTGCTGATTACTGTCTTGACCATCGCGTAGATAAGGTGTTGGGGCGTGAATCACCTGACTACAGCGCGTTTACGGGGCACAGTTTTGGTTATTCGCAGAGAGGCGCAGACAGCAGATTGAAACGCGCTAGTGGCACAACCAGCGGCTATACTTGTCATCATCGAGATAACAAGGTACCAAGGGTTAGCGGCTAATGTGTGGCTTATACCCACCAAACCGTTGTGGTGAAGCCGGAAAAGGGCACGTAGAACGGAACGCCTGCTGTCGAGAACGTCGCTATACCAGGTGCTGTTCCCAGGCTCGGTGAACCCGGTGTCTCTATCCAGTATCCGTAATCTTGTCTTTCGCGTTCATACATCACATAAAGCTATCGGCCTTGAGACAGAAGGCATTACTCTACCAGGCCAAGAAAGGTACCCAAACAACAATGCAAGTAATTATCGTGTACCTGATCGCGTACGGCTCGGCGGTAGGGCTTCTACTTGGTTGGAGGCTATCGCAGTATCTCACCACGCAAGCTCGGAAGCGCGTCTTCTCGACTTTCACAAAATGGGCGGTGTATAGTGTCGTTACTCGTAGGCTTGATGGTAGCTCCGACGTTACAATCGTTGCTGGATTCGTCATTTTGTTACTCGTCGTTGCAAACATTGTCGGATCCACTGTGTTCATTCAAACTCGGACCGAGCTATCGCTGCGTTTAGCAAAGCTGAGCGTTACTAATTTAGCCATACTGTACCTTGGTGGGAGGTCTAACATCCTGCTGGATAAGGTTTTTCGGCTGTTCCATACTGAACAGCAATTGATGCATCGGTGGATCGGACGTATCACTGTAATTGAAGGACTGATTCATGGTGTATTCGAGATCTCGCAATTACGATCGGCTTTAAAGCCCATCGATCTCTCGGTACGTTTTTCTTCTAAGCTGGTTTGCGGAGTTTGAGCTAACACTACACGCAGCTCTTCGTTGTGTCGAGCACTATCGCAGCTACCTCTATAGTATTTGTTCGGCGCCGGATGCACGAGCTCTTCGCTAAAACACATTCGACTCTTGCAGTCGGGATTCTAGTCCTGCTCTTGCTTCATGTACGGGTTCTCAACACTTATATGCTTGTGTGCATCTCTATTGCAGCCTCGACATTCGTGTTGCAAAAGATGACTTGGCTTTTGCATTTCATCTATCGCAATTTCGGGTCTGGTCCAACCACTCGAGCGACTATAACGCCCGGAGAGATCTCAACGATTGAACTCAATACGAAGCGTCCCTGGGGCGTAGTACCTGGGCAGTTCATCTACCTCTCTTTACCTCGGCTTCGCAGATTTGGCCTCGGATTTTGGGAGTCTCATCCATTCATGATAGCTTGGGTTCCTGAACAAGAGAAAGGTCAGGCGTCAACAATAATACTACTGGTCCAAGGTCATCGAGGATTTACGCGCAGACTTAAGAACGCTAACACAGAGATTTCTGCTCTGATTGATGGCCCTTACGGTGGGTTGGATGCTGAATCTTTCACCAAACACGACAAGATTTTACTTATGTCAGATGGCATCGGCATAGCAGCTCATTTGTATGCAGCTCAGTACTTACTTCGTTCTCACGACCAGAAGACTGCACGTGTTCGACGGCTAACACTAGTATGGGTCGTTGGCTCCCAAGGTATATTCTCATGCTGAACGAGTTACACATCTCAGCTAAGCAGTATTCAGAACAGATGCGTGTGATAGAAGAATACCTATTCTCTCTACATGACATGGACCAAGAGAGAAAGATTCTCACTATTTTTTGCTATATTCCTGATCGGTCTGCAAGCCCATCTACCCGCAAAGCGGTTACAGATGGACCTCAAGGGCCTAGAATTATGTCCCTAGTCGACAAGCTTGATATGACTTGGTTCTTGGACAAGGAGTGGGGTGCTGAAGCAGGTAACATGCTTGTATCAGGTAAGAACTAGGAGATCTGGCAACCTTTGGAGCTAACATTTGTAGTCTGTGGAAGTCCCATGTTTGAGCAGCGCGCTAGGAAGGTCATCAAATCGAGTGCACATGAGATCGATTTCAGAGGTAGCGTCTTCCAGCCTAGCAATTCTTAGCCAGGATTTTGGAAGTGTTGAAGGGGAAAGATCTTCACATGTCAATACATGCTCTAGATAAGTCTAATAATAGACCATTCGTAAATTCTCGGCGCTAAGCTGGCATATAAAGGTTGGCCGTGGTCGCGAACTCCACCGTCGACAGCACATCGATCTTTGACAACTGACTCTGGATAAAATGGAGAAGGCTGACCAAGTATGTACTTTCCTGCCATCTCTGATGATGTATGCTGATGTGACTGCAAGTTCGGCTGGTGCGAGAGCTGCAACGCACTCGCAGCTTGTTTGCGCACCCTCTCGACCCAAATCACACAACAACGAAACGCTGCTGCCACTATGGAGGACAAGCATACGCGAAGCATCGTCACTTTCCAGATATATCGCGCGTTCATGCGGCGTGAGAGGAAAAAAACAATGCTAGCTCATACGAAACTTGAACGCAGAGCGGCTCAACTAGAGGCGAATGCAGCCAACCTCAGCAACACCATCGATACCCTATTGGCTGATATTCAAGGCAAGGATAAGACAATTGCACAGCTTTCAGACACAGTGAGGAAGAAGGAAAAGATGATACATGCTATGCAGTGTGCTTCTGCGCTTATTCAACTGTATAATAGCTGAACCAATCTGAACAACCCCTCATGAGAACCGAATACGCCTTTCTTGATGAACATGTGCTTTGTAGAACCCCACGCACACATGTGGATCTTGACATTGGATGAGGCTCGTGATGTTTACGCCATATCCCCCATGTCCTGCGCTGTGCCGTCTTACAGTGCCTGCATGCCGCGTACCGAAACGCTGATCAGAGCTGCATTTCCTGCCGGCACTTTTACAGGCATGGCGCCCCGCTCGTCTAAGATCTACACAACACCGCAGGATAGCGCATACGATCCCGTAAGGCATACTAATTCAAGGCGCTTATCCCTCTTCCCGTAAGGTATGCTCGGTCTTGTTGTTGGTAGTCCTGAAGCAGGATTAGGCCCTGTGCACATACATCCCGTACGGCATACTGATTTCTCGCTCAAGGCGCTTGTCGGGTTCTTTATCCCGTAAGGTATGCTGAATTTGGTGCTGATTAGCCGCCCAGGCTGTTTGTCCCGGCTTGCTGGATCTGCCTTGCGCACATGTGTCCCGCACGGTTTGCACGCCCATAAGGTTTTCAATCCCGCAGGGGACGGTACAGAACAGTATTAGTCAACTGTGCCGCATTCTCAACACGCCCGGCTTTTTGTCCCGCAGGGGACGCCGCGTGTAATCTGCAAACTTTGCGGGGTACTTGCTTACGCACCCATAAGGTTTTCAATCCCGCAGGGGATGGTGCGGAAACAGTATCAGTTAACTGTGCCGCAACACGCCCATCAGGCTTTCTGTCCCGTAGGGGACGCCGCATACAACCCGCTAGTTGTTAGCTAGCTATGCCGCTTCAGCAGGCTTTCTGTCAGGGGGAGCCGTTTGTGGTGTCACATATCAGCAACTTCGACACGCCTCTCAGGCCTTCTGTCTCGCAGGGTATCCAGCATGGGGCGGAAGAGCTCGTCGTCTATAGGTCAACAGTGGAGGTAGGAAAATGGTGATAGTTTCCCATATTCCTTAACGCATGGGGTAGCGTGGGCTTAGAGTGATAGCACGGCATGCCAGGTGGCAGGCTTTGGAAGAGAATCAGATTTACACAGTGAAACATTCGCAAGCTCTTGAGCGCCCTTTAGGGGACGGT